ATACTCTCCCCAGAAGCCTAAATGTAGGTGGTGAAAGACTTAAAGTAAGTTTTAAAGTTAAAATAGGATAAAGAGTAAAGTTTACTTTTTTGATCAAAGCATCTGCTTTAATGAGTTTCCATAACTGGGCTGAGTAAATCAATCTAGATGACTAAACAGAAGAACAGTTCAATATTGGTCCTATTTTAAATGAAAGCACAAGTAGTTAATCTTAAAAAGTTAAAAATAAAAATGTGGAAATGGTGGTTTATTAAAAATACCAATATTATGTGCTGAGGGTGAGTCTGAGTTCTATTAATAAAAAAAAAGACAAAATTATTATTGAATTTTATAAGTCTCAACTATGATCAATAATATGATGGATTTGTATCAGAACGACTAACTTTTTAGGGAGAAACTAAGCTTTTAAAAATGTGTTTTGTTATTTTTAAAGTATTTGTTTTTGCAGTGACTACGTTAAATATTTTTTAAATAACTGCAAGCAGTTTACCAAGGAGTTGGGATGAAATTAATGTCTCCTACTGCAGACATTTGTAAAATGGAAGTCTGAATTTAGTTAAAATTAAAACTTTCCCAGTTTAGAAGTTGAGACCCATATTTGCTGTGTTCTGTTCCTGTCATAGGTAATAGGAGATGTTGTATATCAGACTTCATCTCTGGTAACTTGCCTTCCAGAATTATCAAGGACCTTTAAACTTTCAGTTTTCTGCTTGAAAACAAAGTTGTTTCAGTTAAACAGTAGGAAAAAATAATTCTGATACAGTGATTTTTTAAAAATAAATTTGTAAATTAATGTTCTAATTTTGATTTGAAAACTTACAGAAAATGAAATTTTCATTCTAATCCTTTTAAGTACTCATTTTTTTTAACTGAACATACATTTCATTAATATTGAGAAAAACATGTAAGTCGATTTAGTTTTATTGCTGTTTGTATTAATGAAACTTCTACAATAAATATAATTTGAAGTTTAAATTTAATTAAAACTTTCTTCAGGCAAGGGGATTTTTTGATAGTAATTTGAAATAACTTTTTTGATTGTTCTATAAGAAATGACCTGTTTTCTGGAAAAGGGAGGAGAGATTCTTTTTTGTCTCTCTTTAAGTCAGTTCTTTTATTCAAACAATTAGAACTTATTTTTAATAATGAAAATGGAACAAAGTTACACTTTAAAGCCTTCAAAATTAAAAGAGACTGTTTTATCTTCATTCCCACATTATTGTACATGATAAAATGTCTGAACCGACTGTTACTAAAAGCAGCAGGTTGCAGGTTTGTTTTAAGTGTATGGTATCTTTGTTGATAGACCACCAAATCCTTCTGAGGCTCTTTATTTGGTGCTCATGCCACAAAGAAGGATCTGTCCTTACAGAATATGTTTTTTTTTCCTGAATGTCTAGTTCCTTAATTTGTTGTGTCTATAAGAAGTCCTGTACATAATTGTCTTTTAAATAATCCTTTTTGACCTGTACTTCAAAGGCAGTTTTGGATCACTCATAGAAGACTTGATTCCTCTGTAATTACTTTCAAAATCAGCAAAAGATAATACTGAAGCTGTACATTCCTTCTTTTAAAAAATATTTTCTGGAAAGGATACTTTGTTTTTTGGTGATAATTTTGAATTAAATCAGTCTGAGGAGCTTCACTCCAAATAGTATAAATAAAACCAAACCATTATTACTGTAGTGATCCTAACTGGAAGATCGTTCCTAAAGAAGCTAAGTGATCACTGTAAGAGTTAACTTGAGCAGATGCAGGCCTATGCTGTGTCATGCATATCCCTTGGCTACAGGATACACTTAGGCAGCTGATTGAGGAGCATGTAGGCAGCTCACGCTTGGCACCTGTGACTACGCCACCTGCCTGTCCTTGTCTTTAGCTAAAACTGCAGCACCGCATTCTCTCATGTACATCCTTTTTATTGAATAGTGGAAGTGATTAGCAGAATTGTTTTACTTTAACAAAATTCTGTAAGAGCTCAAGAGACTGACAGGTCTAACCCTCCCACAGACTGTATCTGCACAGTGAGCTGCATCTTGACTGGAGGTCAGTTCCAATGCTGCACAGCTTGGGGTTCCCAGTGTTGAAAGGATGTAAGGTTATTTATAATAACCTTGTTTTCCCTGTAACATTAGCTGCAATAACTGGCAGTGATACTCTATGAAGTCTGTCTGTCTTAGTGGTATCATAATGAACCAGCACCCCCTGGTGAAAAGCATATATGCATCAAAATTTTGCTTCTGGATATTCATGAAGAACCTTTGAGAATTCTGTAAGAATTTCAGTCTTCTATGGCACGTGTAGTCACAGTTAGATAAAATTCTATTCTGCTAGCTAGTTTATTTTTTGAAAACCAGTACTTAAAAATTAGTCTTTCCTAGAATTAATTTTTGAGATTATAATTTTATATATCGACATTGCATTAGTATAGGATTCCATCTGAATGCACTTCCTATTTAATGATTTGCCCCATAGTTATTCTATTTCTTCTATTTGGTTCTTGAATATTTTATCTTTTAAATTTAGCCTGAAGCGTAATATTTACAGCAGCACAGACAAATTTTATAAGCTTACAACTAATCTGTTTGGTATAATTGAGGAGTTCCACAAACAAATTTATACCTGTAGCTGATAATAGCTGCTTATTTGCAGTTATGATTTAACTGTACTTCTTGGATGACCAGTTGAAGTTACTTCAGCTGATGTTGATAGATTATGATTCAACATTAGCAGCAGCATCTCTAGCTACTTTTTTCCTGACATTAGTTGTAATTTTGCAACCGCACTTAATATCAAACAAAAGTAGGTGTGTAAAGGCAACTGAGGAAGTATAAACTCTAGTAAAATAATAGTGCTAGTAAAATAAAAGTATTTAGAAGATTCATAGTGTCTTCAGTGCTATAAGGAATGGTTACCACTGTTTCAGTTTAAGATCAGGAATTTTTATCCAGTTTGAATGTTTTTTTGGATTTGTGGCCTCGCTTTTGGACAATAACTGGCTTGGTTACATTTGCCTGGCTAAAGTCTGAAGGTACTTAGGAGTGTATAGTGTTTCCTTAAGAAATCTAGTATTTTCAATATACAGCAGCTTACTTGCTTTCTTAGTCAGTATCGTTTTGATAGTTGTTGTTCATAAGGTATATAACACACCCAGAATTACTGACTCAAGGTTAAATCCCCCAGTAACATTGACTGAAGTCTTACATCTGTAACAGAGTCTTACATCTGTAACAGTCTTACATCTGTAACAGAGTCTTACATCTGTAACAGAGTCTTACATCTGTAACATAGTCTTACCTAATCTGTGAGAGCAAAAGATTCAGTATTCTTGACCACTAAATGAGACTATTGTTTTCCAAATGCATAGAGAATCTATACTTTTATCTTTCTTGAACTTGCATTTAGTTTATAGTGTTCTTTCTGTAAAAGTAGAGACCTTTAAAATATACACAATTTGTGCCTGTGCTTTCATGTGTTTGGTCTTGTAGAATGAAGCTCCTCTTAATAAGGACAGACTCGAAATAAAGATCTGAAATGTGTAACCTAGTGAAACATTTTATGGTTCTGTTCTTTTAAATTATTTTAAATTCTTCTTTTGCTAATGAAGATAGTGGACTGTGCCAGACATTGTTATACTACTACTGTATCATAACCAAATCTTCTAATGGTAACATTTTTGAAAGGCAAGAAGATTCCTTTATATTATAACATTAATATGTTTATTTGTTTATAATATATATAAGATTTTTGATCATCTCAGATTCTGTAGCCTATCTGTGTGGTTTTTTTCAACTTAGGAAGCTTCAGCCTTGGTAAACAATACACTCTGAATGTATAGTGAAACAACAGCTGTATAATTTGTCCTCTATGAGAAAGCATGATCACAGTTTATCTGAAAAGCTCGACAGTGTCAGAAGTCCAACGTGTTCTCTAAATTTGGGACCTTGGACCTGAGACAGTAGGAAAACAGAGTAAATTAAGCAACAGGTATTTTTGCAATAGAAGTTGGAAGAAACTGTAGATAACACACCAGAGAAGGAATGGCGTAGCACTTTAATATTTGTGACCAGATGTCTCTCCTTAAAAAAGGGTCAGCTTCTATGTGTTCATGCTTCACCAAGTGCATATTATCTGAAGAACAAAGTACCAGTATTTGGGTATAGATAGGGATTTAAAACATTTAGTTACTGGTCTGTCAATAATTTTTTTTTAGAGTACATCTCAGGTTGAGAGTTTTCAAATAACTGTATTCTTCCTATAGTTTATTACGATGCTTAAGAACATAAGTCTGTTGTTTAAATGCTGTGTTCTATATTGAAGGTATGGAATGCTTCCAATAAAAAAATACTAATAAATCAACTATATTTACTTAATAATAATTTTTATTTTAAATAAAAAGCAATAAATACAAAAGAAAAAAAATACAAAACATTATTTAGCCTTGTGAGACATAGATCTTTACAACACAGTTGTAGAAGTAGTTATCTATGCTGCAGGAATTGAGCTATTAGCTTTCATTTATATTTCATTTGTGCCAAATAATTTAGTATGACCTTTAAATAAAATGAATAACCTTCTTCTTATGTGCTCAAATGTCACAACTTTAAAGGATTCGTGCATATTTTTGTGCGTTTCAGTAGGCATATGAATGCTATGCCTGTAAAAATAAAAACAATTTACATGTTTAGGTTCCTAAATTTTACAGGTATCAGTGAGATTAAGTTTCATTTACCTGCTTTCCTTTCCATTGTGATGAATACTCTTAAATGCTGTGTCACAATGTGAGTAGTAGTTACAGTATTCTAGGTGAGATTTTTCATGTTTTCAGCAATAGCTATGGAAGAGAATTATGCCTGGAAAATTCTACATGTGAAGGAAGTTTCCTTTTTCTGTTCTTTCCTCTACTCAGTCATTTCAGATAGTCATCATATCTATCCAGAATAAAATTAGTCATCTCAGGAGAGAAGAGTCTAATTAATTTTGCTCTGTTTTTAAACCAGGTGAAGTACCACCAATGAGATGGATAGTAAATTTTGACCGAGATCTTTTAGATGGTCTGGTATTGGCAGCACAGTTGGCAGCCTATTGTCCATATTTGGTAAGGACTTTTCTTATTTTTTTTCTGCAATTTTTGTACAGTTTTTTTTAATGTAAGTGGGTTTATTCAGGCCTTATTTTCCTTTGGAACTGTTGGCTTTTGAAAACTGTTGGATTTTGAAAACAAAAAAAACAACCAACTCAGCAATTCTAGAGTGATTATTTCAGTACTGATTTGTCTTTTCTCTAGTACATTCTTAATAGGGAATTTTAGTACAAAATTTATATCTTTTAGATTGCTGAAAGAGTGAAAATACCAACATAATAATTTTGCTTTGTGGAATACCAACCATTTAACTTCTCTTTCTTTGCTAGATTCCTACTCACTTTGTAAGGATGTATACTAATCCAAGAACTCCTGCAGAGTTACTGCACAACTGTTTGATACTTGTGAATGCTATGCATGCTGTCAGTCTGGCTATAGACATAAAGGTAAATGACTTTCTACTAGCAGCACTTATAGGCTTCTTTTTTTTACTTTTATGATAGTAATATTGTACATCAAATTAAGGTGAGATTTTAGTAAAATATTTTTGTTTAATTATGTGCTACTGTGTGATGGACTCCAAAATTTTGCTTCATATAAATACACTTAATTGCAAGTAACTTCCATAATTCCTTGCTTTGTAGAATTGTATATATGCAACTAGCTGAACATAACAAGATTAATTCAGTTCTGATTCTAGCATCATAAATCACAAAAACGAAAACCTGAGTGGAATTTTTTATTAATGGTAGGTAATTAACATTAGGCAATTTAGAAAAAATATATTTGAGAACAAACATTATACACTTAAAAATAAAAAAGAGTGATTAAAAAAATATATGAATGTCTGGTGACACTTAGGTGCATCTATCTAATCACGAAGGCCCATGAGGGTTTTGACCCATGTATGATGCACCCAGGAGTCAGTTGCTTTGGACTGCTCAGGGAGCAAAGAAGAAAAGAAAAACAAGAGAGGATCAGCTGTTTTAAATAGATAGTAGTTCAGTAACTAACACACACAACCAACACATGCAAGATAAATGCATGAGTCCCTGTGAGCGTGTGATACAGTCTTGCCATTGCTTTTAACAGGCCATAAGCTTTGTACTGAATTTACAAGGCCTCAGGGCTGGTATTTGATGAGCCTTCTCCTTTGCTCCCTGAGTGATTAAAAATCCTGTCTTTACCAAAACTAGTAAAATTTTTTTCAGGTCTCATCTTTCTTTTAAGAATTTGCAGAGTGGTGCAGCTTCCATCTTAAGCAAAGTGAATGTCAGGGACTCTGATGGGATGGGGTGGGTGTGCAGTGTATTGGGCTGGCTAGAAGATCAGAAGAGAATATAGCAGAGTAGACATAGAATTTGTCGGTATATGAGGAAACTTTCCGAAGGAATTAATAGGATTTAAAACCAGAGATAGAGATGCAGTGTGAGCAATGTGATATGAAAGGAAGCTCTGTTACAACTTTTTTTTTTCCTTTCTATTTGATTGTGTTGTGGTTACAGGGAAAAATAACCATGCTGTTTCCAGATGTATCAGCTACTGTCTTGCTCCCACATCCTGATACAGAAATGCTGTTATGAATGACTTTGCTGTTACAGGCTAAATCAAGAAAATCTACTGTTTCATATACTTGTGACTGACAGTAAGTGTAAAAAGATAATCTAGGTATAATCCTCAAAATGAAGGCATGTTTTGCCTCAGCTTTTAATAAGAAAAAAAGGCAGTTCAGCACATGCAGGGAGAGGCTCAATGCCTGATATACAAAAGGAGTTAACCACAGGTGGAAGGAGAACTCCAAGACATTGTCCTTAACGCACTTAGTGTGCTTTAAGACTGCAGTGTCTACAATACTATGATAATATTAGTTCAGTGTATTCTTGAGGTGTTGGTGTTTTTATAGATGGGAAAGAGAATCAGTCAACATCAGAAAAAGGAACAGATCTTGGATATTCAAGGTCTGTATTTTAATTCTAGCTGAGGCATGTTCCACAAAAAAAATCTTGTGGAAAGTGAAAAAAAATAGAGAATGTAAAGGGCACTTTTGACATAGTCAGTGGAATTCATATATGTTTTTCTAAGAGTACAGCGGAAATTTCCTAAGCAATGTTCTTCAGCAATAAAAGCAGCAAAATACATTAATCCTGTTGCTGAACTGTCCTAACTTGAGATTTTTCTTTTAGTTCTGTCTTTTAAATTTAGCAGGCTAAAATGTTCCAATGGTACTGGCAAAGTTTTTGACTATCAGGCAGTCACTGCTTCTGAACTTGCAGGACAGTTTTGCATTAATTAATGCAGAGATGGTGGTGACAGAACAAGGTGATAAATGTATTAGGTCTGAAATACGTGGCATTTCATCACTTCAAAATGGAAGACTGTTATTATAAAGAAGTTTAACTGTCTTGAAGACTTCAGCTGCAAATGATACTTCTAATGGAGTTCAAGGCTTTTAAATCTTCTTAAGGATTAAGATATAGGCTTAAGATGGAGTAGTTTGGGTAAGAAATTCTTTGTTTCCCATTTCTAATAATGACTGACAGTTCAAGCCTGGAGTATTAATAGTGTCTTTCTATGTATTTTGTCTTTGTGTTTGATATTTTTAAGTTCCTAAATGCTTTAATTTGAAGAAGATCCAATTGAAAGCCAAAAATAAAATATTGCAAGATAGGATCGTGGATAACAGTGGTATAGAAGGGAATGTACGTGACAAGGATAGATTAGGAGAGAAGTTGCAGTGATTGGAGGTTGCCAGTAGAGGAACTAAAATTGCTACTGTCTGGTTTAAAATTTAGGCCAACAATACTGACATTTATATTTGAGACCAAGTGAAAAGGAGGATACTTTCAAACAAGCTATAGAAGATGATGTTGTGAATAAAGTCAGAAAGTGTTAAGAATCTGAAAATGAAAGTCGCTAATCAGTTGAAATGATGGGTGAAATTTAGGGGTTTTAGAGGTAGAAAGCGGTGAAACTGGTCAATAACATGGCTGTAAGATGAAGAAAGGGTAGTAGATGGTACCCCCAAAACTTGAGTCTGAGATGAAGGAGAGAAAGAAGATGCTCTCAGCAGCTGATGGAGAAGAGGAAAGAAATGCAGTGACGTAGAATTTTTTAATTTCCAGTATATGTAAGAATTTTCCCTTGAAGGTAATCTACAGGTTATTGCATGCACTTTGAAAGGTAACTTCCTGGCTATCACTTAATGTTTCACTCATACTATTATCATCTCCAAAGACGATTAACACTTTTGTGGTTTTCAGTTTCCTGTACTTTAGTAAGGTGCTGTTAGCTTGGTAAATATGGCAACATCTTGACAAAAGTAACCTTAAGGAAAAAGATTTCTTTCTTAGTTCTTAGTTATTTGACTTAAATTTATGTGATACTGCAAGTACACGGATAGAACTCTGTATCCGTCTATTCCCCAGTCTGTAATGTAACTGCAAATGCCTTGGTTTGCCTGAGATAGGAATCTAATATTGATGTGCTGTCTTAAATTCAGAAAATGGAAGAGAGAAAAAATTAAAAATAACTTTTATTTGTTAGAATAACAATAATATTTGCATCTTTACTAAACAGTATTTTACATAGTAACTTTACTAGGGTATTGTGCAAAAACGCTTGAAGAGCAATGTAAATCACTGGATCTCCCTAAGCATTCTTACAAAAGTGGATGTAGCAACTGTTTGCTTTGATCTCTAAGCCTGATAAATCACAGCATTAGATAAAGAACATTTGGCTGGAATTTAGTTTTATTTATAATATTGTGCGAAGTGTTTGATACTGTCCCACATGTCTTTGGCTTTAAAATGGAGAGACGTGGATTTGACAGGTGGACCACTCAGTGGATAAAGAACTGTCTGGATGGTCACACTCAAAAAGTTGGGATATCTGTTTCAAAATCAGTGGTACGTTTTATTTCTGTTGGAGCAACTGAAAATTACCCAAACCTGGTAATTGTCTCACCTGGGATATTTCCATAGAGAAGCTGGGTATGTATGGGATAGATACAGACTTTTAATAAGGTTATTTGTATGTGTATGCATTAGAATCATAGAATCATAGAATTGTTTAGGTTGGAAAAGACCTTTTAGGTTATTGAGTCTAACTGTTAACCTAACACTGCCAAGTCCACTAGAAACTGTGCCCTAAGGGCTGCATATATGCATCTTTTAAATATACCTAGTGATGGTGACAGCACCACAAGCCTTTCAGTGAAGAAATTTTTCCTAATATCCAATCTAAACCTCCCCTGTTACAACTTGAGGCCATTTCCTCTTGTCCTATCGCTTGTTACTTGGGAGAAGAGACCAACACCCACCTCACTCCAACCTCCTTTCAGGTAGTTGTAGAAAGTGGTAAGACCTCCCCTCAACCTCCTCTTCTCCAGGCTAAACAACCCCAGCTCCCTCAACAGCTCCTCATAAGACTTGTGCTCCAGACCCCTCACCAGCTTCCTTGCTCTTCTAAGGACGTACAAAAATACAGACTCTTAAGCTTTAATTAGACATGAAAATGACTACTTTATCTCTTTTCCAGACTTGCTGACTGTTCCTTTCTCACATTAACTTTCCGCTTACTGAAAACTTGATACTGCACTTGTATAAGCAAAGCCTTTATAAACTTAGGAAACTAATTTTGTTCCCAAACAACATTGTTTCTTATACGTTTTCCCTTTAAGTTCAATGTTTAAGTCTTAAAAATTTGGAAATAACTAATAAAGATTAAATGTATGGCTTTCTGTTTCTGAAATTTAATATAGTATTTTTATTACCTTGTGTTTGTTTAATACTTTTGCAATAATTTTCAGTAGTCGTTTGCCATTGTTGGTTTAATTTGTTTACCTAGGTAACATCTCATGCCCTCTGATTCAAAGCCTTTTCTATCTTTCAGTTATTTATGTCCTGCTAGAAGCTGTTCTTTGGTGTAGGATGTCTATTTTCATCAATGCTTTGTAAGCTTTGTAGTGGGGAAAGCTTTCTGCATGATTTTTGCATCTGTTCAGTTTGCATTATTTGCAGTTTACATTATTCAAACTTAATTTGATTTAACTTAGTTTACATTAGTTTACATTATGCAAACTTAATTTGCATTATTGCAGTTTACATTATTCAACTAATAATTACATGTTCAGAAAAATTGAGAATGTTTTTGCCACAAGAAGTTCAGCGATATACTCGTTCCTGATACCTTTTAGTAAAATTTTTCTCTCCTGACTGTCAGAACTTTGGCTTATAGTTACTGTGATTATTTTGAATTTAAAACACCCTGATCTGGTTTGGTTTTTAACTTTTCAAGCTAGATAGATTAATATATTCTATTATAAGCATCAATCCACTACACTGCTGTGCTAATAAAACAGAACTGGCAGTATTTTCTAAATTTCATGGAATGACTTAGAGGCAGCTAATGCTATCTAAGTTTTGCATTGTTATAAGCCTATTTTCAA